CCCCCAGCAGCACCCCCCCAAGCAGCACCCCTGAGCAGCACCCCTGAGCAGCACCCTGCTTGCGTCCACATGAACACTCCGCACGCACCCTTCTTGCACCCCTGCAAGCACCCTTTTTCCACTCAAGCACCATGCAAGGCACCCTGCTTGCACCCCCCAGCACCATGCAAACACCCTGCCTGCACTCCTGCAAGCACCCCACTAGCTTGCACCCTTCCTAGGACCCTGCAGAGCCTCGCTTGCTGCCAGGGGAAGGCACTGCTCTTCTTCCTGACTCCTTCCCCACCCCCATTGTTCCAAAGATAATTGCTTTAGAAAAATAGCTTAGGACGGTGGGAAGGAAAGGATCCTCGCTAACGAAGGGGGCTGTAAGCCCAGCAGTCAGCAGGCCCCTGGAGAACACGCAGGCGGCGATGCTCGCACTTCGAAGCGTGCCACAATAACCCGCGGGCTGCACACGTCAGCTGCGCGGCCCCAGCCGAGCCCGGGGGTGCCGAGGCAGGGAGCGGGCACGGCCCTGGGCCGCTCGCTCAGGGCAGAGCTAGTAAAGCTCACATGAGCAGCAGCCTCCAGGGAGGGCTGTAGACCTGAGCTGAAGGGCTCTTTGCACTTCTGTAGTTTTTAACCCAGCTTTGCTTTTGAACACAGACCTCGACTCTGTATGCTCAGCGCCTGCCTGTATTATTGATCTGAGCCCGAAGAAACACGATTGCTCTGCAGTCATGTACAGCTTTAATCAGAAAGCAACGCCATGGGTTGGTGATTCTTTCCTGAGTTGTTGCTGGGCCTGGGTTTGCATGGGCTTAGGCACACGAAAGAGAGATCCAGGCAAACAAAGACTGAGTTATCTAAAAATTTCCAATATCGAGAGCTCTACTGGAGTCATAACCCATGCGTTCCTCTATGGCACTTGGCAGAGTAAAGTGCTGTTTACAAGCTTTATGTTATTCTTCATTTAAAAAAAAAAAGTAAGAAACAGCAGATCGCATGCCAGCTGCATCTAGTAAAAATTGTCACCGTTCCTTTTGAACACAAACCCTTCACAAGTCCCATCCTCGGTGCCGTCCAGCACCGGTGGAGCGTGGTCCAGGCTTGTCTTGCACATCTTTGACAGACAGGCATCCCGCGGGATTGTCCTGGAGCTAAAAACTGGAAACCCAAACCAACGATCATGCTCGGTTT